TGTGTATATGTTTCCTAATTTATCAAAGTAATATATACAGAAAAATAAAGCATAAGAGGCATAATAAAAGAAATGTGTGTGAATTTTTTTTCTTTTTGTTTTCAATTTGTTGTTTTTTTTTTATACTTTTTTTCTTATTGAAAGTGAAAAATAAAAATCTAAGAAACCAATTAGAACTGTTTAAATCAAAATTTAAGGCTAACACGTAGTTAATTTTCTGACTCTCGAAAATAAATGGTATCCCCAGTGGAGTCGCCAAGCTATCGTAATGGTTTAGGAGCCGTCCGAAAAATTTGAAAATGAAAATAAAAAAACAGAGTCGCCACCAATCTTTTTTGGCTAGGTGCGATTAGTCACCTATTAAGATTTATCCTTTTAATAAGATTTTAAAATTAATTAAAATTTATTAAAAATATAATTTAATGGTTTGCGAAACAGTCTATGTTCAGGAGTCGGTTACGTGTGGGGAAAGATTAGCACTCTCACAGCGCCCCGTTTAAAAATGGTACCACTTAACTAACGTGTTATCCTATGATTTTAATAAAAATAGTCTTATTTTCGATATTTGAAAAATAATTTCTTTAATTTTTTTATTTATTGGAAATTATTTATTTTTTAAAAAATGTTTATTATTCAAATTTTTTTCGAGAAAAATAAATGAGAACCTTTTTATTGAAATAATTCTTAAAATATTCCAATACGTTGGTGACATTGAAAGAATTCTTTCTCACCTAGAGATTTCTTAGGTATTGTTTCTTGGAATACCTTAGAATCTTATCTTCGGAGGCTCAAATTTACTTTTTGTAAAAATTTATGCCGGGCATGCAATGCAAATGATAATACGTTAACACAAACATTTTATTTTTATTATTTAAAATTTTATTAATTTTTATTAATATTTATTAATATTTTTATTTAAAAAAAGAAGAATTTTATTATATTGAAGATTTTCTATAAATATTCTAATACATTGATAATATTTTAAAAAAATCTTCTCATCTAAGGATTTCTTAAAGCATCTCTACTCGGAATACTTTTAAAATCCTATCATTGGATAAAATTTCCTTTTTCCTCATTTTTTTATTACTTATTCTTAATTTATTAATTAATTATTATTTACTATTTTATAACAAAAGAAAAATTTTATTATATTAAAATTTTTTTATAAATACTCCAATACACTAGTAGTATTTAAAAAAAAATATTCTCACTTAGAGATTTCATAAGTATCACTACTCGGAGTATCTTTGAATCTCATCATCGGATAAAAATTTTATTTTCATACTTTTTTTTAATTTTGTATTATTATTAGGTTTATTTTTAAAAATAACATAATTATAAAAATTTTAACAATATTATAAAACAAAAAAAATTTATTATAGCAATTTTAAACATTTTAACATGCATAAATATTAATAATAAAATTTAAAGTAACAAAAATAATATTTAAAAAAAATCAAAAAATTTTATAAAAAATAATTTTTTTACCTGAACCGGATTGGTCAACGGTTCGATCAATGTCAGTACGACTGTCTGGTAGCGTTCAGCGATTTGGGGTCAGTCTGACTCGGGTTCAATGATTCGGGTCCGATCTGAATCGGGTTCAGCAGTTTGGTTCCGGTTCAGTTAGACAGGTCAGGTTTGGGGCTAAAAAAGTCAGGTCGATGGGTCGATTTACGCGGATCTCGGGTCAGATTTGAGTCCACGCGCGAATCGTCTCATCCTGCAAAATGACATCGTTTCAGCCCTTTCCTTAAACGACATTGTTTTGAATCTTAGCATTCTATAAAAGCTAAAAAACTTTTTCTTCTCTCATTTTTTTCTTCTTTTCTCTCTCTCTCTATACTTTCAAACCCTCTCTCTCTAGACCAGTTGATCGGTTACCGTTCACCATGTTGGCTGTCGATCGCCTATCACCGTCATCAACGTCGAAGTCAAAAAGTCCCAAAATACACTAAAATATTTTTTTCGACTCGCTCTTTCTAGATCCAATCTCTTTTTCACTGGGAACAGCCCCGATCAACGTAGATCGAGGCTTAAAGTTTCAGTCTCTTTTTTTTTTTTTTTTTTTTATAAACTAAAACTAACTTTTTTGGTTTTTTTTGTTGTAGGGCCTTGACGTTGATGGTTCCTTCTTATGGGAAGGATTGTATTTTTCTTATTTTTTTTTTGTTTCTGGTAGACTTTTTGGTTTTGTTTTGGTTTTTTTTTTGTAAAAAAAAAAGATATGTAGAGGCTGTGATTGGGAAAGCCGTGGATCCTTTTTCTGTGGGACGTAAATGCTAGTGCTTTATAGACCTTTGGTGAACAGGGGCACAGGGGTGAACAGAGATGTGGCAATGTATACAAGGGTGAACATGTGGGTGGCAATGTATGCAAGGGTGAACAAGGGGTGACAATGTATGCAGAGGTGAACAGAGGGTGGTAGTGGTGCCATGCATGGCACCCACTGCCACCGACCCATTTATTTTTTTTCCTTTTTTGTTTTTTGTATTTTTTGTATTATTATTGTATTTAATAATATTATTATTATCTTATTAATATATATTATTTAATAGAACAAAAATAAAAATGATAAATTTAGACCCGATTTTAGAATCAAGGTCCGACTCAAAAGCCCGGACAAATTTAATGTCTATAAATATCATTATATTTTGTGTTTGATATATGTAAAGATTATATTAAAATAATTTATTTATTTATCAAAATTATTCTTTCTCAAAGTTTATACAATTTAAGTTATTAATATAATTTTTAAAGAATAATTAGACATGTAATTTTAATCCCATAAATTAAAAATAATCCTCTACATTTGGAAAGGATTGAATAATTTTATGTCAAAAGGATATTAATCTTCCTTATAATTTATATCTCTTTCTTTAAATATAAATCAAATATAATATAAAATAATTATTATTTTATCCTATCAATAATATTATGCGTCAAATATAACCTAAGAATCTTATGTATTTGACAGTCAAATATAGAAATCTTGAATGCAATCTTGCTGAACCAAGTAAAATATATAATATATAATATATTGCTAATAGAAATGTTAATGTTATCAATTTCCAATGAAAAACTTAATCTTTTATCCTAATGAAAATAGGTATAAATATTATATTGTGAGTATGAAAAAGATGAAAATTGATATAATTTTAAAATTTTATGAAATATGAGGATGAGGATGAGTAATATAATGCTCATTATATATTCTTATCTTACATATATATTTATATATATTTAATAAATAAATTTTTTATTAAATAATATAAATTATTATTTTAAATTAATTAAAATTAATATATTTTTATTGAAAAATATATATTAATAGATATTTATAAAAATAATATAAATATATAAGATAAAAATTAAAAAAATAAAAAAATAAAAAATTATTTTTTACAAAATTATGAATATAAAGATACTACATTCATTAAATACTTGTGAAAATAAAAAAATAGATTTAAAATATTCATTAAATATAAATATAAAAATAAATATAATATAAAAATTTAAAAATAATGATAAAAAATATTCTACACTATTTATACCCTAATAATTAATATTCGTAATTGCTAGAACGTGACTTGGTAAGATATATTACCAAAGGCGATTGACTTTTCCAAAAAAACGAAGGACATGTGTTACACGTTAATTGAACGAGATCTAAAAAGAGGAAAGACGTGTAACGTATTACTAGAACGTGCTTTGGTAATATTACCAAAGGCAACATAGAATTGTCAAATCACACGGCACTTGAAATTAGCATCAAATCAGCATTGATCTTTTATCGCAAGAGAGAGTAGTGAATCAAAATTATTTTACGTAATTATTTATTATACATAATAAATAATAATAAAATGATAAATATTTATTTAAATAAATATATATGATATATAATAAATAAATAATTTTCTATTAATATAATTATATAATATGATTTAAATAAAAATTATATTAATATAAAATAATTATTTTAGACAATCACTCGTCCGCAAGCGAAGTAGAGAAATTGCATTTGTTCTTTCACCATCAATGAAAGGCCATTCTTTTGTATCATTAATGGCCATCTAATCAGCGACGTCCTAATAGTTATCTTCGGACTGTAGAAATAGTGTTTAATCAATCATTGGACAACGAGAACATTGTTGTTAGCCAAAATGCTCATCTATTATTAATTAATTAATTAATTATGATAAAGGGAAGGGGGTCGAAATTTTTGTTTTTAAATTTTGTTGACTCCTTGAATTAATTATGCCAAAGGGAAGTGCCAAAACTTTGTTATGATTAATAATCAAGAAATTATTTTCAATTATTATATTACTCTCTTCAAACATTGTATAGATTTGTAGCTCGTGTAACACGTTTTGTTAATTTATCTCTAAATTTAAAATTGATTTTCTCCCTTCTCACCATTCTTAAATGTATAGTTTGAGATCATGAACAGATCTACATATAGGCTACCGGGACAATGAAAATTTGAAAACAAATAAGTTTTGTTAAAAAAATTAAAGCTAAAAAAGTTTTTTTAAGTTTTACTTTTTTTTATTGACCATTATTTTTAATTCGATCAATTGATATGTTATTAAAATTAATATTTAAATATTACTAATTTGAAAAAAATTATATATTTATTTTTTTCAATCAGATAAGCAATTGAGTAAAGAGAATTAAAACTAAATTAAAAATAAAAAAAATCAAGACCAATTAATCATCGGGACATCTAACCTATTTTCTTTTTGTTTTCTAAATTAATTTTTTTACAAAGTAAATTACAATATGAGAATAAAAAAATTTAAAACTAATGAATTTAAATTTTAAATTTATTAAATATTATTTTTTAAAAATAATTATATCGATTGAGTTAAACTTTAAATTCAATTTAATTTTTCATAAAATGTGAACCTAATTTATTTCATGCTTGATTTTTAGCAGTAGATGGTGGTCTATAAAAGGAGAGTATATCCTTAAGAAGAGATATTGCAGCAAATTGTCAAAGTTCTTTCCTCTTTTCCTACTAAATTTCATCAGTGACTGCCGTTCACATAAAATTGCCTCACCATGTCAATTGCTTCACTTGCCTCAACAACTATAAGAAGGTTTAAATGCACAAATTTTTCCATATTTAAGTCATCCGAAAGAATATAATTTTGCAGCAAAATTACCAGGCAAATATTTAGTTACTAATTTACATTTTCTTCAAAATTGCAGGCTAGAAGGGAAGGTTGCAGTCATCACCGGTGGTGCTAGTGGCCTTGGCGAGTGCACTGCAAGAACTTTCGTCAAACATGGCGCCAAAGTGCTTATTGCAGATATCAAAGATGAATTAGGTAAATTTGTTAGCAAAGATATTGGCCCGGAATTCTCCTCCTTCGTTCACTGCGACGTAAGCAAGGAAAAAGATGTTGAAAATGCTGTAAACGCAGCCATTTCCCACTTTGGAAAACTTGACATTATGTTCAACAACGCTGGTATAATTGAGCACCCAAAACCCGACATACTTGACAATGAAACGTCTGATTTTGAACGAGTCCTTAGTGTTAACTTAGTAGGTGCATTCTTAGGCACTAAACATGCTGCTCGAGTGATGAAACCGGCTCGCCGGGGCAGTATAATTACGACCGCTAGCATTTGTTCAGTAGTTGGTGGAATTGCTTCCCATGCCTACACCAGCTCAAAGCATGGCGTGGTAGGGCTAATGAGAAATGCTGCAGTGGAGCTAGGACAGTACGGTATTCGTGTAAACTGCGTTTCTCCTTATGGGGTTGCAACTCCTCTAGCAAAGGATTTTTTCAAGCTAGATGATGTTCATGGCATTTATGCCAATCTTAAAGGGGCGATTCTTGAACCAGAAGATGTGGCTGGGGCAGCTCTTTACTTGGGAAGTGACGAGTCCAAGTATGTGAGTGGGCTTAATTTGATCTTAGATGGTGGCTTCACCATCACAAATTCTGGGTTTTCTATGCCTGGTATATCTGAATCATCAGCACATTGAATATATATCCTTATAGGAAAGCCTAGGATTCAATGTATTGAAAACACAAATTGCCAAGTCTAAATTATATAAATAATGACTTTAGCTACTTTCAAAAAAATAAAAAATCATGATTGGAATACAAAGTCATTATCCATTTTTCAAGACTAGGATTTGCTTCTTTTATATATATTACCAATCCAATTCTTCTTCAATCTAACATAGATTTTATGTTTACCTCTTGAAAAAAAGGGGGACAACTATGGAGCAATGACATAGGAAAAGAAACAAACCTTCTTGCATAATAAAAAATAATAGTAAGCCCATTAATCTTTGTCGACCGCGGCATTTGTATACCTAATTCAGTAAGCAATTACAATTATTGTAAAAAAGAATGATTAAATTTCATCCACGGTCTCTAATATTTTATTTTGATTATACATTCGTCTTTTATTTTTAAATTATTTTATTTGAATCTTTGACTGTTTAAAATGATTCTATTGTGATTCTTTGCTCATATTATAATTTATATGACATGCTAGGTGACATTTTTCAACATATCACATAAATATTTTCTCAATTGTTAGAAAAAAAATGTGTTGAAAAAACTAAAATGAAATCATTTAAAATATTAAAAATTCAAAAGTTAAAAATTAAAGATAATGAATGAAAATTATCTTAATAAATAATGACTTTACGTCAAAGGATTTATGATTGAAAACTTTTCTAAATCCTCATTATTTTCATTGTTACGAAACCCACAAGTCGCTTAACCTAAACAAGTAATAAAATGGTATAAAATAATTTAATGACCAATGTACAATATAATGTAATGAGTATGGTAGTGTCTTATCTCAAATTTGTTAAAGAAAAAGGTTAAAAGTTTAATGAATTTTAACAAAAGTAGATAAAATGTGGTTAGGGAGAGACTTGGGTTCTGAATTGGGCTTTCCTGGAAGAATTAAAATCCACAAAATGTAAGTCCAAACTCAATCAAAACATAAATAATCCACAAGAAACCCAACCCAATTTATTAATTTTCAATTTCATTTTTATATTTCTACTTTCTAACCGTGTGAAGGATGAAAATTAACGGAAACTTTTCTCTAATTTTGCGCCATTAACAGTTGCTTTATTCTTTATATAAAACCCCCCCCCAAAAAAAAGTCGAAAATAAAAACCCTAGCTTCACATCTCACTTAAACTTTCAAAGGGATGTCGAGAATCTGTTGATCGATCATGAATTCAGGGTTTTCTCATCAACATTGATCTGTAAGTTTTTTCCCCATTTTTTTCCGTTTGATTTTTTTTTTTCAATTCGCCGCCCTCTTTTTTGAAGATAGTAAAATTGGGTTTCTCTTTTGGTTGTTGAGAAATTTCTGGAAAATGAAGTGCCGATTACTATGAAGTTTCCTTTTTTTCCGAAATGCTATTTGGGGTTTCTTAGTTATAAATGTTAAATTTCACTTCACTTAGCTATGTGAATGATAAAAAAAGGGGGGAATTTTCTTTTACTTGGATTTTCCTTAATTCTCGGTAACCAAGCAGAATGTTAGGGTTTTTGGCTGAACTTGACTGTTAAGAGTTACTTCTGAGGTATGTTAAGGTGTTAGTGTTTAGTTTATATGAAATTACTGCATCCATCTCAATTTCGTTTCCTTTTTCTTTGTAGTTTAATAAATTTGTTGAATCGCGTATCACATTATTATTCTAAGGGGATTTACATAGAAAAAACTATAAACAGTTGAACTTTGGGCATTCCCACTGTCACTTGCTTAATTGAAGGAGTGTTTATGGTATGGTTTTAATGAATGTTGAATGTGGCTTTTTTATTTTTTTCATCACAGGTCTCATAAGAGAGTTACATAACGATGTCAAGACCCATGTTACTTGTTTTCCTGTTGCTTATAGTCATAATTACCTCTCAGTTTGAGTGGAGGCAACAACTTGTTGTTGATATTGACATGACCCCAAGTGTAACCCAGAAGCAGCAACAAATTTCGAGGGAAGAAGCTGTGAAAGAAAAGGTAAAACGTCTTGTACTTTTTTCAATTTCTAAGTGAATTTCAATTTTATCTGTTGTTGATAGAAAACAGTTGAATAATGATAATAGTTGCATTCAAATGCACTCTTTTAATATGGTATTTGTATAGTAGTTAATGTATGCTTAATTGCAAACCTTTTTTTTTTTTTTCAATATTCTTTCTTTTTCTTATCAGCTTGCTGTAGTTGGTTTATTCCAGTGTAAGATGTTCGTTTACGTAAAATAAAAAGTTTTTGTATCCTTATTTATCAATTGCTTTTCTGTAACCTATCCTTTTGTGTTTTGTTTTGAGTTTTATCTATATATTCAAGATTTATGTTTGTTCAAAACATGGTATGGTTGTCAGTATACATGACATTGACTCTTCATCTCTAAAAGAATTTTTGTTATTGATTCATTGTTCAAGAACATATGATATCCATTATATCCTTGATGCTTACTTCCATTCCATGTTAAAGGTCTTTTGCCTCCATCATAGTAAATAAGTTCTTTGCAATTAAGCTTTTTGGGACATGTTTAGGAAGAGTTAGTTAATGGCCTTTATTTACTATTCATTTTTTTGATACTTAATGTTTTCTTGCTGATGCTTGCTTCTTTTCCTCAAGGGAACCTGTCATTATTGGTGATTAACTTACGAGGTTACTCAGGCGCTATCGACCAAAACTAAAAATAGTTGTCATGGAAAGCTTTTCAATTTGACAGAAATTTATGCCTAGTGAGCTTGTTTCTAATTCTGTCAATAATAAAGTTCTTGCTTTTTTCTGTTGTCACTTCTGTTGGCTAGTCTTAATTTCCTTTTGACGTTATAGTGTTCTAACCGCAAATATTCACATTAATCTAGAAGGAACACTGCTATTTCAACCTCTGATATGCCAAAAAGCAGGAACTAGGTACTCGGAAATGTTTGCCTCTGGAAGCAAATAATAATGAAGTTTTGTGTTTGTCATGATTCATATCTTCCACCAGCTGTTTAGCTTCTGATTGACTTCTAATTGTAATCTTTCACTTGTTGCAGATCATCTTATCACAAGAGAAGAACATTCAGCGACTTAATGAACTTGTGCAAAGTCTTCAGCAGCAACTATTGCAGTGCAAGGGCAATAACAAGACAAAAAATGGCATTGTAAGCCATTTAAATTAACATGTTATTTGAGCTTGAGCAACAGCAAATCTTGGAGGACTAGGCTATGATTACTCAAAACATATGTTTTGATTGATGTACATTGAAGTTGTAAAATCCTTGTTTATCCATGTAAGTTTTTTTTCCTTCTTGTCCTCTCCACGTCTTTTTAAAGGAAGCAGTGAAGCTTTGCACAATATAAATTGTCCATCATACCATTCATAGTAATTGCTAAGTGACTTCTGTTCTTTGACTCTGTTACTTTGGCACTAACCAATCTTATGATGTTATTGCATTGTATTAGAATTATGGTCAGCACCCGTTAGCTGATTGAGAAAGAAGAAAACCATTTTGAGATACATGGTGTGAGACAGTGGGCTCAATATGGGCCTATGGTAGATGATGATAAGTTGTTACTTCTCTTTTGCCAATAGTAGATTAACAGGAATCCTAACCACCCTCAAGACGCTATCATTTAATCACAAAATGTTTTCTTGTCTGCCCTGACCCTGACTCATCATTTTGTTTTTTGCAATTTGGTCTGTCTGATTAAAATCTTAAATCGCTATTGCCTGCATGCTTTTGAAGGCTAAAAACTCCACACATGCAGATAAAAATCTTATTGCTAAGAATGGGTGTGCCTTGCTTCTTGCTAGTACAAAACAAGTGTGAATTCCCTATCAATCCGTAGTTAGAAAATGAGAGTGAGAAGAATTTGGATAAGATGTAGTTCCAGACCTTGAAATCCAAACTTAACATTATTGAAGATGCTATGAGAAAATTTCTTAGAGAATATTCCTCACAATGGTGTAAGCTTAGTGGTGCTTCTAATTTATTTGGTCTATTTGCATGCTACATGAATATGGAAGTTGGCACCGAATTTTCATTTCTCATTTATTGATTAGAGAATTTGATAGAGAATTCTTGTTTCTTAAAGCAAATATAATGCATCTAATGTAATCATTCTCATAAATTCTCTTTCACCCATGTAACAATCTGGATATAAAATAAGAGTACATTACTTTGCATTTGGTTGAGTTAGTAATGATGATATACAAGTGTTTTTCAGAAACATGTCTCTTTCATCAATGTTTTTAATATATATTTTGAGTTCTCTTCGTTCCCTACTGTATTAATGTATTCTTCTGGTTCTGTATGCATCAGAAAATGTGCATAGACTCAACTTTTGTGCTCTGAGTTGTATTCCAGACAAGATAAAGTTGCTTCAGTTTAAGGTTTTAATCTGAAATTTTTAACTCCTACATCTGCTGTGCGTTAATTTCAGTACTAGTACAGAACTTAATACTCTCAATTTTCTATAGGGCCTCATATTGTGTGTAAGAATTGGAAGAGAAATGTGATTTGTTGGTTATGTAGGTTTAGTACACAACTTATTACACTGGATTCTTTCTAGGCTCTTTGCCCGAGCAACAAATGGGAAACAAATATGATTGTTCATCTGGTTGTTTAGTTCCATTTTATATTTGTTTCGAGCAGGGAAGGGTAAGGTGAATATGCTTATGATGATGTAAATGGTGGTGTAAAAAGGACAGAATAATTCAAATTCCACGTGGAGTGTCGTTGAGGAAGTATTTTGATTGGCAACTCTCCTGTACTGAGGAGCCTTTTAAATAGAAAGAAATTTAAGTGGCTGCCAGACACTATTGAATGGCACCAGACAAAGTTTGAGTACCTAACACTTTGTACGTTTTTTATCGGAATATTGGAAGAGATCTATGGGAACAATTTTTTCTTTTTGTCTGTCACACCCGAATATATGGTTTTTTCGGAGTTTAACTTCAATACATGCTTAGCAGTATACCTTTGAGAGAGGGTTGCAGGGGACGGTATAGACATGTACCCTTGTGGCCGGTTCACACCAACAAAAATAGAAATCCAATACTGAAGAAAGCAAGGGTCCAATGAACAAATCCATTTTTAAAACATCTGCATCTGTAACGACGAAGGTTTCAACTTTCAAATGTAAGAAGGTTTGGGAAATAAGCTGGAAAAACTTCTGTCCTCTTGATAAATGCATATCTCAGCCTGGGCCTAGCTTTTACTTGGTGCATGAATTCAAATTGACAAGAGAATTGAAGAGGTTTCAATGAAATTTGTTTCAATCATTAAACCCATAAATTAAGATTGGTTAGTGGTTTTGATAAAATTAAATTGAATAAAGTTGTGAAAGTCACAAATTTACAATGTTTTTATTGCATTAGGTCATATACATTGTCTTGCACAAGCATTTCTTTATATATAAAACTTTTCTGCATCAAAGGAACCAGCACCCACTTTTAGTTGTCGTGATTTATTTAGCCAACTACAAGGTTCAAGCAGACTGCTACTCAAATATAAGTTGGCTGCATAAATCAAGAAAGCAATATGCCTGTCTACATTTTACGAAGCTCGAATCTGAAACCTCCAAATTAAAAGTCTTAAGTTCTAATCGTTGAAATTTTATTTTGGAATTCTTTTAAATTTATTAATTTTTATTTTTATTTTTAATTTTTTACAATTTATAGGCAACAGCGTGATAGATACAACTACAATGACCATATTGCTGTTCGTGTCAACAATTTTGGCCACATAACTTAGAAAGGGTTCATTTATCTTAAAGCATGATAGTAATGCTTGTGACTTTGTGTTAGCTAAAATTTAATACATTCACATGGAATTTAAAAATACATAATAGCTTTTTAGGTGGTTTAATTGCTTCTTCTCCATATTCAAATGGGGAGGCTTTGAACACATAAATTGGTGGACTAACCCATAGATAGCTATGTATCATGAATTAATTCATGATAGCAACTCTCAACAAATCATCTTATTATCTACACATTTTGCAAAGAAGAAAAAAAATTTGCAAATCAAAGAAGAAGTAAAGAAATTAGCAAACATTAAATGTATTAAGTTATAATATTGACTTGCACTTTTTACAAAAAAAAAAAAAAAAATAATAATAATAAATTGATTTCATTTAAACATAGGTAGGGGAACCTTTTCACAAATTTAGATGAATTTTGCTAAAGAATAATTTAAAAATATTTTTTTCAATGTATTAAAATTCATAACATTAATTGTCAATTATCGCACTTAGTAAAAAAATAACTATAAATAATATATTAATTAAATTTAATATATACTTTTAAAATATTCGTTAGCAAAATCATATATATATATTAAACAATATCTGGATAAGGTAGAAGGTTGAAGTACAAAGGTGTAAATGCGTCGTGGTGTGGTATCTTGAATTCGTTCAAGAGAAAAGAAAACTGCAGAATGAATGCCTTATGGATTGTTTGTTTGAGGTTTTAAGATAAACATGCTTAGTTGGTAGATCAGGTTGAGTGCATTTTGGTCTGTATTTATTCTGCTTTACATCTCTGAGATCTCCGATATTCAATTTAAAAAAAAATAAAAAATTGGCCGCCAATTTCTATTGGCTACCTGCATTTATTCAAAGTAAACCCATTGAGAAACTTTTGTTTCATTTTATTAAGAAGATTGACTATTGAATTAATTAACATGTTTTTAAAATTGATATTTAAAGATTATGAATTTAAAAGATTTTATGCACGTAATATTGTTTTAATTAAATAAATATAAAGATAAAAAATTCAAGAATAAATTAAAATTTTTTTACAAAGGTTTTTTTATTGATGCTTTTATTATTTAATTTTTATTTTTTAATAAAAAATAAAAAATAAGAGATAAATAAGAGATAAATAACAAAAAGCAAAAGAATCAACTAGACCAAAACTTGTTTTTCGTTATCGAACACATGTATCATATGAAAACAAATAAATTAACGTTGGGCACAGTTAATTTGTCTGATTGCAGGAAAGTGAAAGAGCAGCTATCCTAAAGTTTAAAAAAGGTTAAAGGTATTATAATTAAAAAATATCTAAAATTTTTTATTACAATCAATCAATCTTTTTAATATTTATTTACATTTAATTAATTTTTTATTTGAATAAAAAAGTTAATATCTTTATTTTTTTATTAACTAAAATAAAATTTCATGTTACATAAATAAAAGAGATAAAAATTTATCATGTGATGCAAAAATATATATGAAAATAAAATAAATATATATTTTAAGATACCTTTAAAGGAACAAATGATTTTAGTTCGAAAATTGATTAACTTAATTTTATCATGTGATTAAATTTTATTTAATTAATGATTTAATTGAATCAAAATAAAAAATTAAAGTCTTAGATTAATTATAATAAAATTTTAAATTATTATTAAATTATTATTTAAACATATTTTTTACCCTTCAACCTTTAAAAAATGACTGAAATTATCTTCAACAATTACATGTCTTTCCAAGTTACGTACTTTGGTAAATTAAATGCAATGACTGACAAAATTTTATTGCATGAATTCAAACAAACTTCTATGCTGCCCCCAAAGAAAAGCATTTGTGCAAATTTCCACGCATAAAAGTCAGAAGCTTTTTATTGAATATTTCTAGGAATTTAAAGCTGCCCTTCTCATGAAATCATAAAATAATTACCACTACCATTTAGGAATCCTCCAGCATTTTTCAAGTGCAGCAGCAAGCATTTATAATGATGGCCTTTTAATTCTTTTTTTTTTTCCTAAGCTGTGTGAATTTAATATACTTCACCTGACCAAGAATATTAGGAAAAAAAATACAAAGATATAAAGTCTCAAAAAAATAAAAATATTGGTATATTGGTTTGAAACTTTAAATATACTAATTTTCAACACATTGCAACCACAAAAAAAAAAAAAAAAGCTAACCAAATCGATATACTCAATGAGCCAAGCTATGTAATATTTGTATTAAATGAATTGCTTTAGCTTGGCATATTGATATTATCCAATAAGGCCAAGATGCAAGGTAGATATATTAGCTAGCTTGCAAGTACATTCTTTTAAAAACATATGTAAATAAATTTATTTTTTTATATAAATATAATTAAGAGATAGTTGCAAAACCTTATTGCACGAGGTATGCATTAATAACATTTGAACAAATAAATTACATATAGGCTATAGAGATACAACATTAATGATTCCATGGTGGTAATATTAATATTGCTATGTAGCTTGTAGATAGATTATTGTAATCTTAATTTCATTAATTAAAATTCAAATATTGATAATTATAAGTATAAAAAATATTAATATTGTTGAAAAAAGTAATGTTGACTTTTATTAGCATGTACCTTAAAATTAAATTAGAGTAAAAGTATTAGGAACCAATTTTTAATTAATTTTTATTTTTATAAAGCCTTTTTATTACTGTTGAGTTCGGATATCTGCCGGCGCAGAATAGGTGAACCGATCCCGCCCCCCCAACTGCCATTAGGTAGTTTCATTATAAAAAAACTGCCATGAGCATGCAGTTGATAAACTTGTTTGAATTCTAACTGCCGTACCCATTTCTATAAATATGGCAATCGGCTATATTGAAATAGAAAGTGAATGGTTGAAAAATTAGAGAATAGAAACAAAAGGAAAGGATAAAGAACCGGCAGAGACAAGGGATAGAAACTCTCCCCATGCAATCGAAGTAAAGGATTGCAATGTGAAGAGCAGACAATTTTCAATTTGTGATTTTGTTTTAGACCAATGAATGAAGACCATAATCTTCAAGAATCCTATTTAAATGTTTAAATTTCGCATTAATATTGATTATAGTCTTTATCCAACTTAACAACTGTCAGATTTTATATCACAGAAATAATTGACAATTTAGTTTTTGGATTGGGAAAAAAAATTATGTGGTGGCAGCTGGGTTAGGATGGATATATAGAAATGTTATAATCGACCAAAAATAATTAGGACAACTCAAGCTAGAAGTAGAGACCGGGATCAACTATAAAATGTTTTCATTGAAGCATTTATGTTGCATTCTTTTTTGTTGGTGTAGTATTCTTTAAAATTTCTAAGAACAAGAACAATAAAATTCAAAGGTAATAATAATAATAATAATAATAATAATAATAATAATAATAATTAATACAATCATTCATCATGTAACTTTGACTGTATTTAGTTCTTTATGCAAATTAGCGGTTTTGGATTTACAATGGTCATATAAAATGTGGCCATATTATCATTATGTGAGTTTATTTCTGATATATGAAATAATACTTGATCAGCATATTAGTTTAACTTTATGGCAAGTGCAACGTATTTTCCTGTTAAAATAACTTGATTCAAATCGCTTTTCACCAAATAAAAAAAATTATTCTCTTTGTCTCATTTTTTTTGTCCATATATTTTTTTAAGATATCCTAAAATTATATCTTATTTCTTTTTTTTTAATCTTTAAAACTATTATTTTTTTATATTTTAAAATTATTTTTTATGATTTTTTTATTTTTGACATTAAAAATCATGAAAATTTAATTTTATGAAAATTTTTTAAAAATTTAATATTAAATATATTTAAATCAAAACTTTTTTTTTAAACTCTGTGAAAATCAATACATAACAAATATTTTGAGACGGAGAGTGTATATATTTATACTAAGTTGTAATTAATGATAAAATTATGCAAAATATTGCTTCACCAAATATGGAGACATTACTATATAGGCTTTTCTTATATATCTTGACAATTGCCGATACAAGTGGGCTAGCTTACACCTTTTATTAATATAATGAAATTATTATTATTATTATTATTATTATTATTATTATTATTATTATTATTGAGTAATTTTTAAGTAAAATGTTAGACACTGGTTAAGATAATATTTAAGGAAATAAAATTTAATTAATGCTTTTTTTTTCATTAATTTATTTAAAATAATGCACTAAATACAAAAATATTTTCTTAAATAATATTAGTGTCACTTGGTAGTCATGTATCATCCGTATAAAGATAACTACCACATCATCATTTATTTATTTATTTTCTAACTGTGTTAGAGGTTGCAGAAACTTAATAGATCAAAATGAAATTTAGTTACCAATTTAATTTTTTAATTTAAGTATTACATTAAAAAAAGTACGATTATTTAGAATATCGATCCTTTAATGAAAATGATAATTAAATACAAAAATATTTTTTAAATAATATTTTAATTATCTTTAAACAGTACTTAAAAATATTCGTTAATCGAATCCATTCTTAAATAAAGTTTAGTATTGTGTTAAGATAATTTCAATTTATAATTTGTTTTTAAGAAAAAAAAACTATAAACCCCTATCTAATACATTCATTTCATACTATCACTTAACAATAAAGTTTATTGAGAATTATTAAACTTGACTTGGTAAGAAATACCTATGTATTGATTTTTTTTTTTTTTAAATGGGCCTTTAAATTCCAATGTGGTTAAATAAATCAATGTGAATGCAGTCAAACTAGAAGGCAGTAAATCTAAAAGGGAAAGAGATCTATCCATCTTTGGCCAAAAGCAGATTGATATTTATTGCATTCTGAATTTTCTTTCCAGAAGGA